TTAGCTAGTGACTAAGTTAGCTAGTGACTAAATTAGCTAGTGACTAAATTAGCTAGTGACTAAAAAGAAACTAGACAAAGTCCTTGATAGTTAGCTAGTAGCTAGCTGGAAATAACTAAGACTGTAGCAATTAATTTAGCTAATAATAAAAAAAAATGGATGAATTGAAACTAGCTAAAGAACTAGCAAGTTAAAATTCTATAACACGTTGGCTAGTTTCAATTTATCTTATTTAAATTTGAATCTTTGCTAAGCCTGTTATGTGACAATGTAACACTGATTTATATCTTGAGTTTATGAAACATTTTATATCTAAATGCTTCATAAGATATACACTCAACCCAAAAATATTATTCTGAAAATGATGGAGTGCTGGACAGAGAATATGAGAAAAAGTCAGTTAGTGGTGGTAAGTACAAAAACTTAAAATTAAAAGACCTCCAGAAGGTCTGGAGAATTATTATTAAGAAAAGTATTTAAAAAATACAAAAAAGTCTGGCTTCTGCATTAAAATATTAAGAAATGGGAGATGAATTAAGACAGCGCATTAGGTAGGTTTATATAAAAATAATAATGTAAAAAAGAAATGTTTTTAATGACAAAACTTTATAAACTATTTCTAAATTAAATGCATGAACATGGCTTTAAAATTACCCATAAAGTTTTTAAATTTGGAACAAATACATCTGTGTGCATGTTTACACGTCTTCACATTTAAAATATTCTCTTGGATCAGTCTGAGTACAGTACTAATAGATCAGCAGTAACCTGGTGTGTCTGATGGAATCAGATAAAAAAAAAAAAAATTTTATTTAAAAAATGAAAATAGCATTTATTACAAGTGAGCCTCAAACGATCACATCAACAAAGAACAAATACCTTAATGTTATACTCAAAATAAACAATTATTTCAAGGTATCAACGTGTTGTATTTAAATATGACTGCACAAAGGTGTACTCACTGCATTTACACTTTTTTAGAGGCTGAATTAGTTTTTCAAACTGTTTTTTTATTTTTTCACTCGTGATCACAGCTGAAGTAAGCACATGCAGTTTTAGTTTTTATCATTTTTAGCCTTTTTACTCTCCAGCAGGCATGGACCCATAGACACTTCACTAAAGTTTAGGCCTCCTTACATTTGCCTGAGACAGATCACTGGTTGCTGATTGCTTGTTGAACGTGGTTTGGATCACTTGGTGAAAATGATCTTTGCTTAATGTCATGCTTACAAATGAATCTTTACACATGCAGAAATCTGTTGAAACGCATTGCTGAACCTGCTGAATGGATAATTTTTTCTTTTTTAGTAAAGTTTTCTTTCATTTTTCTTCACCTGTCTCATCACGTTCATACCCTCTCCATCTTTATCTTTTTTTATTTTTATTTGTGTTCCATTGTGTCCTTTTGGTCCCATCCCTCCTCCTCCTCACTCGTTTCACACCGTCTCGTCGTCAAGGAGGATGCTTTGGCTCCTGTGACTTCTGACCCCCAGTCGCTCAGCTTGCCGGGGTCATCGGGGGCCGGAGCAGGAAGTGGAAGTGAGGAGGAGAGCTCAGGAAATGCCCAACCGAAACGCCTCCACGTCTCCAACATCCCTTTCCGCTTCAGAGACCCGGACCTCCGCCAGATGTTTGGGGTAGGACATTCCTCCCAGTTCTGAAGTAGATCGTCACACTGACTCAACAAAACCTCCATTGTCACGTTACTTGAACACATTTGATGTGAAATTTGCAGCAATTTGGCAAGATCCTTGATGTGGAAATTATCTTCAATGAACGAGGGTCAAAGGTGAGCATTAAAGACACATTGATATAGCTCGAGCTGATGTGAACATTTTATTAAAACAAATTTACCCCAACAGGGCTTTGGATTTGTCACTTTCGAGAGTGCTAGTGAGGCAGACCGAGCGAGAGAAAAGCTGAACGGGACGATTGTGGAAGGGAGAAAAATTGAGGTGAAGAAAGGTTTCTTACTGTTTGAAGGTTTCCACATCAACAGAAAACACACTTACCTTTTTATTTTATTGTTTATGCGCTCAGGTTAATAATGCCACGGCAAGAGTAGTTACCAAGAAGCCTCAGACGCCTCTTATAAACGGGGAACTTTCAAGTAAGCAACATGAACATTGCCTCATTCCCTAATGGAGTTTGTTTTCAAGGTAAAGACTATAAAACAATTTATCTTTGCAGCTTCTGGATGGAAGATCAACCCTGTAATGGGGGCGATGTATGCACCTGAACTCTATACAGGTGAATTTCCTGCTCAGATATTACCAGTATTGTAAATTTCCTTAATGTTGGATTTAATCTTTTTCTCCCTTCCTGTTTTATTTTTCCCTTTAGTTGCCAGTTTTCCTTATCCAGTAGCAACTCCCACCTTGGCCTATCGGGGCTCTGCACTGCGGGGCCGGGGCCGAGCCGTCTACAACACGATTCGCTCCGCAGCGGCTACTCCTGCTGCTGCTGTGCCCGCCTACCCCGGGTAAGACCCTGAACCCTGAACTGTCGTGTTTCCGCTGGAGGGTTCCCAACAAAATCAAACGACCTGAATACCCACGATAAGAAATTACAATGTTCTTTCAATGTAAACGTGCTTCAGAGCATCTTTACGAAAAATGAAAGTTCTTTGCGATATTTAAAGCTACAACTTTTTTCACACTCTCGTAGAAATTTAAACATAGGCAAAAAATAAACAATATTCATTATGATAATGCGTCCTGCTGTTTCAGCGTTTTCTTTGCTTTGTTCTTGAATGATTGCAGCCAATGAGATTGTACGGGTTGAAGTACAAAAAGTAGTTGAAACTTAAATTTCTCTTTTATCATTTTTTCAGCCTTGTATATCAGGATGGACTGTACGGAGCAGAGGTCTATGTACGCAGCTTCATGATGCTCACACAGTTATTGTTTCAAATCAGTGTATGTTTATCTGTTATGAGGATGTAATTTTATTTTTCCCTTGCAGGGCGGCTATCCTGCAGCTTACAGAGTGGCTCAGTCAGCATCTGCTGCCACAGCAGCCTACAGTGACGGGTAGGCAGATTAATTAAACATCTATCAGATACACAAGAACTTGAATCTAAAACTATTTTCATTATTTTTTTACTAAGATACACGTTATTCATTTTTTAGTCAAGTTTAGAAATTCACATTTTTGTGAACCGCTATGAGATTATAGCGTTTTTAGCTTTTTTAGATAGCTGAAGTCTGCTCTGGAATTGGCTGAAGTTTGAATATCTTATTCCATAAACTGTGATTGTATCTGCACTACAAAACCCCACAGCAACCCACACAATCCATTTCCCTTTACATAAAATATTTCATTTAAAGTAGGTATAAAAGTCATTTCAAACTATTCAAATGTTGCCATAACTGTGGTAGTCTGTGTGTCATATGCCTTGAATTTATTTGTTGCTTTATGGGACTTTAAGATGAAAAACTTAGATGGGGGAAAAAACCACCAACAACGTTATAATGAGTTAGTGGACAGTTGAAAACGGTGATTTTCACTTACTCAGACAAGCAACTGTTTCATTTAACTAACATATCTTCACTAAGAATAGAACACAGTCTGAGAAAAAAGTAGCAAAAGTTTATAATATACAAAAATATAACCCAACGTGCATTCAATAACCAACAACTGGTCCATTTTCTGCCACCAGTTGAATATTAGTAAATGCATTAATAGAGTAATCACTGTGTTTGACTTCATCTCTGCAAAAATTGTGCAGTAATGTGAAGGTCATTCTTGGACTTGGTTAGAGGCAGTGAGCTAGCTGTATAACACCTTAATCAGCCACAGTCAGCACAGGTACACCACAAGGATGTGTACTGAGCCTTCTACTGTTAACACATCTGACACAAAACTGCTTGACCAAGTTCACCCAGGATCATATCATTATGTTTGCATATGACACCGTTTCTTGCCTAAGAATGTGAATCCCCCCCATTCAAGCCATGATAATGTTCTTTGGAGACCTCATTGAAAGCGTTCTCACCTACTGTATCACTTCCTTATTTGGAAAAAACACAGAAGAGGCATAATCTCAACAAGGTAGTGAGGACAGCTGGTGTCTTACTGGCACATCTCAAGCACCAGTGCAGACTGCATTAAAAAAAGACATCTCATGGCATGCTGTTGCAATGCCCCATCCTGAGCAGGAAAAACTTATTTTTAACAAGAAGAAACCTCCAGTAGAAGCAGGCTCAGAATGGGCTGATGATTTGCTTCTATCTGCTGGTGTTTGAGAGTATAGAAATTGACACAAACGCAGTAGCAGTTGGTACAAGCATAGTTTCTATCGGAAAAAAAAAACAATGAAAAACACAATAGTAGCAACCCTGTAGGATAGCTCAGGAAACCCAAGCAAACTCTATGGATTTATCAAAAGTAAAGTTTTAAGTCTGGTCCTAAATGTAGACAGGATGTCCACCTTAAAGACAGAAACTGGAAGTTAAACTCTGATCACTGAACATTCAGCCTGCCATTTTACATTTAGATACTCTAGGAACCACAAATAAACCTGTGGTCTGTTAGGAAAATACTGTATATAAATACTAAAATAAACTACTACTACTACTTGTGTACATAATTTTGTTCTATCTCATGTACTACATGAGGTGATTGATAATGACAATAAAGTTTACTTGAACTTGAACTTAGTCTACTGTATCCCTACTTGGTGGTTTTTCACTTATTGTGGAGACGTGGTCCCAAACCACCAAGATAAACGAGGGACGACATTTGTAGAAAAATAGGATCTCTATATGAAATGGAGCTTAGTTGAATTCATGATGCATGAAAATATTAGAGCTAAACTAAAAAAAACAAGTTGACTAAAGAGTCTTTTTTTTTTTTTTGTTTGAGCAGATATGGCCGAGTTTACGCCACAGCTGCTGACCCGTATCACCACTCAGTTGGACCAGCGACAACATATGGAGTTGGTACAATGGTGAGCTGAGTCCAAACACCTGCAGCTCCTGATATATGTCAGCAGATCCTTCTTACATCTGAAACTCTTCTTTTGTCAACAGGCAAGTTTGTACAGAGGAGGGTATAATCGCTTTACCCCGTACTGAGAATGGAGGTCCTGAACTCTGGACCTGAACAGGTTTTGATATCTTAAACCTTTTAAAAAAAAAAAAAAAGTGGAAAAGTTGAGTCTCCATCACTTCACCTTCAGAGACAACCCAGCTGTTATTTTAAATGCTGTATTTATCTGCTGGACAAGAGGATGTTAGGTAATTTATAAACAGTTGCTTAAAGCCTTTGAGTTTTTTTGTAAATTCATTAAAGGGATCTCCAACTAGTTGGAACAATGCACCTTATTTGATAAGCTATTACTTCAGCTGTAAAGAGTAGATCGTAAAAATACTGTAGGCTCTTTTTTATTTTTACTGACACGTGAACGTTGACATGTTATTTACACTGCACTGCATCCATCCATCCATTATCTTTACCTGCTTCTTCCTTTTCGGGTCACGGGGGTCACTGGTGCCCATCCATCACGGTGAGAGGTGGGATACAGCTGGGACAGGTCACAAGTCCATCACAGGGACACATAGAGACAAATGAGACAATTAAACATTCACTCTCTCACCTAGGGACAATTTAGAGTTACCAATCAGCCTAACATGCATGTTTTTGTTCTGTGGGAGGAAACTGGAATACCCAGAGAAAACCCACGCATGCACGGAGAGAACATGCAAACTCCACCAAGAAAGGCCCCCGGACCGGGATTTGAGCCGGGTAACCTGCTCGCCGAGAGGCAGGCGCTCTGTAACTGCACCACCATGCTGCCCCACTGCAATACATTTGGGGTAAATAATATAAATGGGTTGCAAGCTCCATTCAGCTTGAACGGTAATTTTGGACAATATCTGATGTTCAGCCCTTTAATTTGAACTGGAGTGAATTGAGAATGACTAGAATTAAAAACTGACTCAGCTTTTTTATTATCTCCGGAGCTAATAAAAAATTACAAGTTGATCATGTTTGATTGTTTCAACGCATATAAGGTGCATAAGTACCAGGGTTTAATTTGAGCCAGATCCTGCCAGAACAGGATCTGGGAACTCTCTTGAGAGTATGTGTTCCAGTAACTTATTTGCTTGGATCCGGTAACTGTCAGGCTTACTAATAATAAACATATATGTATATATATATATATATATATATATATATATATATATATATATATATATATATATATATATTTATGAACATATATGACTGCTGTGAACGAATAAAACTTATATTGGATATGTAAAATGAAAATAATTACAGTACATAAACACTCATTTTAAACACAACAGCATACGATTTGCCTCTTCAAGTAGCATTTCTGCGTCTACCCTTAAAAAAAAATCTCGCCCCCTAAAAGAGTGGTGGGGGTGAGTGCCGAGGTAACCACAGCCACAGGCAGGTGCCTGGAGGTTCACATGTGGAGTCGGACAACAACAATCAGGGACAGTCGGTTCCGAGCCTGACATCCTTGATGGTTCCGTCAAGTAATGGGGGGGGGATGCTTGACAGAGGCGGAGTGTTTATAAATGTAGTTAAACGTAGATGTTTAACCTGTTAATCACATATACTTTATTCAAAATTTTCTGGGGGGACCCCCCCCCCCCCCCCCCCCCACCCCACCTACTATTTCTGTTCTGGCATCGATCGGTTTAAAAATATCAATTTATTGTCATGTTATAACTTCTATTTTTTTTAAAAGTCCTGTTATTTTATTTATTTTTACCTTTTATTCCTTGACTCCTTCTCTCCACTACAACCGATGTATGTCATCGCCCCCAGAATGCATAGCACCGGTAAAATAATGTCAGCATCCTTAGGTGAAAAATGTAATAAACATATTTAATTTTTAAACATGAGCTTTCACGTGTCACAAACAACTTAGTAGAGAAATAACGTTAAGGCCAATATGTGCAAGTAGTCGGAGAACCCTTTATTAATCTGAGACGTTAGCTGGTGTAAAAACACTGTGAGAATGTTTTTCAGTTTCAGGTGCAAAAAATTATTTTGTACAGTGTTAAATGATTTAATTTGATGTAACTGAATTTATTTTTAAGTGTGTGTTTCAGTGTGTGTAGCTCTTTGGTGGACAGATAGCCATGATTGGAATCATTTTCACAACACTTGTTTATTTTGTTTTCTACTGGTATAATTTTTGTTTTCATTTTAACAATCTACCTCTCATACATTTGTGGCTTCACAGGCGTTAGGTTGAAAATTTTCAGGATTTTCTGTCCAGTCCACCTTTCAGTTTGTATTTTCTAACATTTTCTGTATCTGATGTTTTATATTTAAGCTCTTAATCTGTAACTTTCTTCCTTCGCTGCAGCGGTTGCTGGATTTTCTGCCTCTTCCCTTTCTGAGAATCTCTAAATAATTTAGTGTACTGGTGATTTAATTTTGTTTTTCTTGCACTTTTTCTGCTTTATTTGATGTTGTTTCCTCTGAATAAAACTTTTTTCTTTCGCTTTTTGTTGAACTCTTCTCATTTTTCAAGCCTTTCATTTTTCCCTGCTCTGGGTTGTTTTATTACGTGGCGTTTTAACAAGAGGCTTTAGGCTTTTGCAATCAAGTGATTCCATCTGTGCACAATCACAAACTATCAGCATTTTTACACACACAAAATTAAACATTAATAAACACATGAAGAGTGAGAAGTAAAAAAAAAATTAAATGTGGAAAAGATTTGATCCCTACAAAATTGGGCCTTTTCTGTGAAATGTAATTACCTACAGTATCTATATACTGTAGGTATACTGTATATATATATATATATATATATATATATATGTATATATATATACATGTATGTGTAGATAACACGTCATTGCATTATTTTTGTGAATCACTTTGTAACATGTAAAAAATTGCAACTTGCTTAAAAAATATTTTTTGTTTGAAATTAATGTTTTTTTGTGATTTAGACTTGAAACAACCCGTTTCTGCTCGTTGCATCACTTTTCTTCTGCTGAACTTTATTTTCCACTCTGCTTCAGTTCTGCGTTTGTTTTTCATGCACATTTTGCTGTGGCTGGTCTGTTTGTGTGCCAACACTTTAAACTTCTGTCCTCTTTATTCACTATTCATTTTTATCTGTAAAATGTCTGTGTGAAACTTTCCCTTTTTTCTTTAACACTTTACGCCTTTTCTCGACGGTCCTTTGACAACTAGGGATTATTTAAAAAAATCTTGGAATTTCCACTTCATTCTTGTTGCTGGGTTAATCTTTATAGCGTCTGTGCAGCTTTCTTTAGAAGCTTTTTTTTTAACATAAATCACCCTTTTGAACTCTGCAGAGCTGTAGTAAAGGTTTTAACCATTTCATGTTGATTTAAGCTTCTTAGTTTATATAATTGTTTGGATTCACTGATTTTTATTTGGTTGTTGTGTCAAATTACATAGAAGTTCAGTATAAAGTAATGCCCCTTTAAACTCATTATTTGAAATGTACTTCAAGTTTACAACGTTCCAAGACTTTCACTGAATTTTAAATAAACTGCATTTTGTTTTACCAATTTCCAATTCAGCTCTCGAGCCTATTTTTAGTTGTGAACCGTTTTCCATTTGCTCCTTTCAGCAACTCATCCCGTTTGAGCACATCATTAACAGCTGTACTTCATCACAAATCACTTAAACTTTCCACTTTTTGTGCTGTGACAATGTTCATAAATTAAAATAAACACACATATGCTCTTTATACCTGAAATTTATTCTTTCAAAAAGTATTTACACATTTACAAAATATCAATTTGTCAGATCTGTATAGGAGTGAAAGTGGGGGGGGAGGGGGGTGCAGATAAACCTCAGCTTCAGTTAGTGCGCTGCAACATAAACTATTAAAGCACTGCAGATATAACAATACTTACTAGTGAGAGCGACTAGCTGCACACAGCAAACAAATTTGACAAAAAAAATAAAAGAATGGGAAATATGTTCAAAGGAGTGGAGGAGAAAGAGGGAGAGAAAGAATGTCATGCAAGAAGAAGGGAATAAGAGAAAGTGAGAACAAAGAACTGGTCCAAACAAGTGATAAAAATGGCAGGAAAAAAAAAAACAAGGGAGAAAAATGGAAAATCGTTCAGTGTCAAGTATCGAGGGGAGAGTACACAGACTAATGAAGTACAGTTACACGGGAGCAAACAAAAAATAAAAATACAGGAACCTGTCGGGCACTGGAGGAAAAAAATCATCGAGTGGTTAGTTTTCTATGGGTGAATTCTCCATTAAGAAAAGAAAAACAAAACAACAGAAACTTTTCTGGGTGTAAGAGTGCACAAATACACTATTTGACCATGAATAAAGATCGTGTATCAGAAGTTAAACTCGTTACAATCCAACCTAAACACTGAATACTTGAATTGACCGAATAGAGGACTTTGTTCTGGATGTCCAGACACTTTTTCAAAATGAGGAATTATTTTCCCACTGCAGAATTCTGTCAAACAAGATGTTTTCTAACAAATGAAAAAAACAAAAAAAAAAAAAAAAAGTTTTAACTAAATAAAAGCCTGATGCGGTCTGAAACGTTACAGAGAAAATGCGCCTGGACAAACAGAAACCATCAGAAAACGGTGGATCAGCGAGCACACGTTGAATATTTGATGCAGCAGCAAACGACCATGGTTACACGTTTCATTCTGCGGAACTCCCGTGTTTGACCAGCTGAGACTTCAGCGTGAGGCTCGCTCACAGGTCAGCCTCTCCGGCAGCCATCGGGGAGGAGGTGCACCCACTTTTCACTCCGAGTGCTCCTGCAGTGCAGCAGTGCAATGAGCTGAAGATCGAGGCGTGGTGAAGATGCTCAGGGGGGAGGTTTGGGGAGGGGGGAGGTTTGGGGAGCAGCGGAGGACAGGGTAAAATGAAGAGGGGAGGGAAAGAGAGGACATGTTGAAATCATTTCAAGACAAAATGTTCAAATGCTTAAAGAGGAACAATTTGACAACTTCCTGATCTGAGAATACAAGAAGCAGTTTGTAGATTCGACACCATTTTGATGCGTTTACCCCACATGGTGGACCAAGTGACACACAGACATTTATTTACATCGTTACCCCCCAAGATCACAACATCCGAGTTTGACGTCTCACTAAAAATTGATGCGACAGCCTGAGCTGTGGTCACATCAAACTGCATCTGATTCACATTAATGAGTTGGAAAAATCTAGAAAGAAATCCTCACTTACCCATTCAAAAAAAGCTACGCACCCAAAAAACTACTATGATACATCATTTACAGGATTTTTTTTAAAGTGAACAGTTGCTCCAAATGTCTTAAATACAAACTTAATTTCTGCAACTGCAAAAAATACTATTTAGTAAACCTGCCAACGCCTGGGGACCCTTTGCTTTTAATATGAGCACAAAGGTTTGAGAGGATACTTCCACAGGCAGCACACGTTGAGAACATTTGGATGAGGGTTGTCATCCTGACGTCTACACACAACCAGCAGTAAACATCTGCGATCAGATCTCAGAAAGCTTGACGGCCAATTAGGAAGTTTTTCCTCTTTAGAATCAAGTTTCTATACTTCAAATAGCTTTTACAGATTTCATGGCTGCAAGTAAAACTGATAAAAGCCACAATCTACTCTCAATTTACATATATTTTTAATTATACTACAGTTCATATCAGTCTGTAACTTTTTGATTGAAATACTTTCTGAACTGACTTGAGTGCACCTTTGCAATTAAAATACAATAATCAGGAAACTTAACTTGGGCTTTTTAGAATATTGTCAAATTGCCATGAAAAATATATATATTTGAACTGTACATTTTATTTAAACCCTGTTTTCAGATCCAGAATTATTTTTGCCGTTTTCAACCAGAAAAGCCATTATCTTTGTCTCAAAGTAAAAAAATAAAAGCCAAATGAGGGGGAAAAAAAAAAACGCACATCAAACAACATGTAACAGAAGAAATGTAGGTGCCATCTCTCGTCACGCCATCATCCATCTCTTCTCCCAAAAGTCTTTTTCTTACCAGACGGTGGCAGACGTAGCATACAAACCAGTTGGTACTCCTCCCTGATGAAGCACGTTTTCTCTCCATGCAGGATTTGCAGCTTCCGTTTCAAGGAACAGCAGCTAGGGTCCGTAAGGAAGCAGAAAGGACTCCAGCTGCTGGCAGGAACCTCTACCTGAGGCTGACGGCAGCAGAAATGAACTACGTTGTTCTAGAGGGCGAAGCTCCAGACTCCTGGTAAACTTTTGAAAAACAGTCAATCTCCACCACGTTGAGAATTCTTCCAGTGCCGGAGAGCCCGATTCTATCTGATGAGTAAATGAATACAGCTACACGAGGAATGAGACTTTAGGTTCCAGTCCATACAAACCACCACCTCTTCTTTCAAACTCCTGGCATCTTCTCACAGTCTTTAAGAGGAAAGTGATGCAATTCTCTATACTCTACTCCAAAAAGTGAAGAGTCGGCAGACAGACTTGACGAGGAGCTGTTAGACTTTCCTTTCGACTGACGAGACTTGAATCTTCAGGCTGCTGACTTGAAGAAGGAAAGAAACATAACAGAACACTGTTAACGCTAGCATCTGTTTTGGGGGAAGGGGAAAGGAACCTCCCTGATCTGGTTCTGACTCCTTGGAACTGAGATTTCATAATCCCAAACCTATTCTACCCCTGCTCTTTGTGCACATCAGAAGCTCAGTGAGATGGATCAAATGTAATGTGTGCAGATGTTCTCCTCTGTTCTTAAATCAGATACTTCTGTAGGTCAGATTACAGAATGTACTAACAGACGTGGGTCTTATAGGTGTTGCCTGCCTCGACTGTGGGGTGTCTGAGGTGCATTGAATGATCAAGGATCTGCGACGCCACTAGGATTCTCCCTTCATCCCGCCCACCCAGTCGACTCAGGAAGCAGCTAAAAGGACTGTGCTGGTTTTGCAGTCTATTTTCTCTGGGTCAGAGGGGGTGAAGGTGACACCTAGACTAGTTAAAAAGGTCATACACGAGTCTAAACAGGAGAAACCCAGAGCTTTCTGCACATATTGCACTGGCAGATCAGGCCTGAATCTGTAGAGCAGAAAACAGAAAAAGAACACAGGTTAGCGTGGAAGGATCTAAATTTGAAACATAAATGAAGAGTTCGACTCACGTTTTGACTATGGCCCGAAGAGCAACCTTTCGTTCTCTTTCTACAAACTTGTCAATGAGATATGAAGCCATGCGCGGGGCTTCCTGGTAGAGCTTAAAGAAACGATAATAGTTTCCCAACGCCCAGGCAGCGCGGAGTGAGAGAGCGTGAGCCACACACGCATCTTCCCGCAGCGCTGGGGTCAAATAAGCCAATTCAGTGGTCAGATCTGAAAACATAAACGACCTAAATTAAAGTACTGAAACAGTTTATAAGTTCAACTGTGGCAGAGATTTCAGATTACCTCCAGAGTTTTTAGTAAAAATGTAATACAGCAATCTATAAGCTGTGAATTCTCCAATATTTTCTGAAGGGTTGTCCTTGTAGAGAGCCTTCAGCTGCGTCTGGCACTGGTTGAACTCCTCATGGTCACCCTAAAACCAAAAAAGGCCAGAATTCAAAAAATGCTGTCCTACTTTTTACAACGTTAAACTAAACAAAAAGCTAGCTCACTTTTTCCAGGGCAATACGTGCGTGACACTCGTACACTTCCACTGTGAAGTCAGTACGAACTCCTTGGACCTAACACATGAACACAACATTAGTCCAAAACTAACACCACTGAAAACACAAACAGATGAATGAAACTTGAAATGAACCAACCGTGAGGTCCTGACGTATGGACTTCATCTGCTCACATGCATAGGCGTAGTCCTGGTGGGTTTTCCAGTGGGCCTTTACAGCCTGCAGAGATTTTCTGAGCACCTGAGGACATGAAAGCACATTAAGGACTAGATTAAATACTGAATCTTGGAACTGAGTTTCACTGGGTTCGTGTGCTGACACACTGCCTGATCAAAAAAAAAAAAAAAAAAAAGGGATGCCACAAAGCCTGATATTTAAAAAGTACTGCAAAGATTAATCTGTTTCAGATGGGAACAAGTTATTGAACAAAAACTGAAGCTTCTTATTAAAGAAACGACCAAGAAACACACCCTGTGGTCATGGAAACTGTGTCACTTTGTTTCAGAAAGATTTTTTTATTTGCCTGCTTGAAGCAAACAAGACAACATCTGAAAGTACTCAGCTTTGGTTAAAAATCTTCCAACATATTACTAAAACCCTGAAGGATTGCAGTGAACCATCATTTAGGGGAAAAAATGTGTTTAAGTGGGAATAAAAAAATTAAATAATCATGACTGGATTATTTAAACATTTGCTCATCTAGCTAGAAAAAAAATTGTAATATAAAAACAGTGCAGCTCAGCATTGTTTAAATTCTTAAAAAGTGCGAGTACTTTCATGTGGACGGTGAAGAAAACAACACCTTTAAGAAAACTGTTTACTTGTTAGATTAATCAGAAAAAAGTCTTTAAACCACCATAAAAGTATTAAAAATAAAATCAAAGCGTTTAGATACGTAATCTGAAGGGTCCACGTTTACCCTGTTCTAGAGTGACGACCCTTTCAAAGTACTTTTACTAACTGGCTTTTATAATATATGTTCAAGTTTTTGTACAGCGCCCTGAGACGACTTCTGTTGTAGCTTGGTGCTTTAGAAATAAACTGAACTGACTTGAATCAGTCATCAAAGCAGCAGATGAAGGGATTCATCAGACAAACAAACTACCGCTTTAGGAAGAACAAGACACCACTATCAAAGAGGAATTTTACATCCGAGTTCAGACATTAAACTCTACTTGAATCTTTAGAAGGCTCGGACTTACCCACAAACAAGACAAAACTTTGGAAAAATAAAATACTAAAAAAATAAAAATAAAGTCGCAACACTATAAAATTCTATCAAAATGATGTCACAGCAAATCCATGTGGCATTTCAAACAAATGGTGGTCAAAGAGATTTTCAGAGAACCTGGTTTGTCCAACAGCTACACACTCGTCCTCCACTAATGACTCTGGGTTGTACACGAATGTGAACAATATTTGCTCGAAATCAATGAATCGATCCCTCACTGACCTGTACGGGGCGCACAGTAGAAGGGTCGGGGGCGCAGGTGAGCCTCAGATAGGACTTTGTGATGTCCTGACAGGACCCCACAATGGGACAGTCCTCCCAGCTAAGGCTCTCCTGACTTCCATCAGGTAGGTCCAGAGCACCGATGGACAGAACCAGCGGCTCTGAGCGAAGCTGTTTGTGGAAACGAGCTGCTCTGCTTTGCTTCTTTGCTTCCCTGTTAGGGTCATGAAAATCTAACCCAGCATTGCCTCCTTTCCTTTTCTTTCCAACAGTTGCATTTGGATCATCCAGGTTTCTGAGAGATACATTAAAATTAATGTTTAAAAAAAAAAACTAAAAAAGTTTAAAGAAACAAAAAGTTTTCCATTCATCAACAACAAAAAGTTATTTAAATGTATTTTAAGTTACCGCCGTCCTCTGCTGGCTTTGCCTCCTCTTCCTCGTCCTCCCCCACGTCCCCTGTCTCTATCACTGCCACGACCACGTCCTCCTTTCTGACCTCGTCTTGACAGCTGAGGCTGCAGGTCACTGGAGATGCTGCTGTCTGACTGAGAGCCAGAATCACTGTGTGTGTAGAAACACAAGACACTTTAAACAACAGTCCACAGAACACCAAGAGAAACTGGAGCAGGAACTGGAGCTTACCTGCGCCTGTGCCTTTGGTTGCTGCGGTCTCTGTGTCGGCTGTGCGACGGTGATGGTGAGCGTGATGATGATCGTGATGAACTAGAGGATTGGCTCCTCTGAGAGAAAACATTCCTGTAGTGGCCCAGTCTGTGCCCAATACCCCTGCCTCTTGAAGCAGCAGCTGTGGTACTTCCACCACGACTAAATGAATTATCTGATGTTCTCTGGAGAGGAACAGTTTCCCAACGAGACTGCTTCACCTTTAATCTACAAAAAAAAAAAAAAAAAAAAGAAGTCCTAAACATCAAAACCAAACTATCTACAACTACAACAATATATAAATGTCCTGGCAGTCTGAACTGATTACAGACTGTTGTGATACTCTGAAACATGACTAAACTCACTCTGGTAATGGCTCACGAGTCCAATCAATGGTGTAGGCAGAACCATCCTTTAGCCTTTCCTGTAGAACTTCCTTAAGCACCTTCTCTGTACGATCTTTGTCTTCCTCCGTCTCACAGGCTGTAAAACAGCGCTGCACATATTCCTTCATGGCTTGGGGCCAATCCTGGGGCCTGGACAGAAAATATTTGCACTCAATACATTTGAATAGTTACTGGAAACAAGGGATTTTTTGAATAACCTAAACAAACTCTCACCGTGTTTGAGCACCTCCAGGAGCAGCACTGGGAGTACCTGGAGAGGAAGGTGTCTGATTCTGCTCGCCTGGTTGGAAAGTCTGGTTGGAAACTGGAGGACACTGAACCTGGTAGGGCCTCTTGGGAATATTAAACTTTACAGAAGTCCCTGGTGCCTCTATAAGAGCAGACAAAGCATACATTTATTCCTTGTAGTTACTGGGAGAAAAATTAAAAAAAACAATAATAATAATATCTTACGTTTCATGCGGTGCCACAGCTGTTGCCCTTGTTTCTGGTTTTTGTTAGCCTCGCCTCTGCCCAGCCCTGGTGCGTACTGATTCTGTAGCTGTTGTTGCTGGGAGTTATTCTGAGTGGGCTGGTAGTTGTTCTGGACTTGGAAATTCTGGTTGTAGTTTGGCCTTCCCTGAGAATGATTGTAGGCTTGCATTTGGTTAGGGTCAGTGGTTGAGTATGTCATGGTAGTGTTGGCACTGTAAGAATTTTGTGAAGCAGGTGGGGGGTACTGGGAATTGGGTGGAGGAGGAATAGATGGAGGTGGGGGAGGAGGGGGTTTGTCAGCGATGGTTGGGCTCTGGGGTGGCTGTGGAGTAGCAGGTGGGGGAGGCTGTGGTTGAGAAGTGTAGCTGGGGGTCTGATCTTCCATTCCAGGTACTGGGGGAGGCTAAGAGAAACAAAGCAAAAGTATAAGTATTACATGATCAGATAAAATCTGAAAATAAACCTAAAAGATTGTTACATCAAACTTAACAGTGACTACAATCATACAAATAAATGGAAACCCTGATGCCATGTACCTGGCTGGAAGTGGGAGTTCCTGGGTATGGCCCTGGAGGTACACCATACTGATTTGGTGGATATGCAGCTCCATACTGGAAAGCAGGTCAAAATGAGGTTTATAATTTATTATTTGCGTTGAAGTGTAACTAACTATAGTTTCAGCATTAGCAGTGTGATGTATGCACCATGATACAATGTTGAAGGACATCTGTTGTCATGTCAGTCAAGACTAAGACTTGCATGTTACAATGCCCATACAGTTAATCTGACTGATTCTCATATCCCATGACAAAAATACTTAATTTACTAATATTGAGTGCCTTTAGAAACCAAAAGGTCAGTGGTGAGAAGAATACATCTGTTGGACATATCCTCACTCTGTACATTAGTCTCCCCTTCACTGGTTACTACCTAGAGTTTCTAGATCTATGCTGCCTCTTCTATTCGTTGTTAGAATACCGACTGTAAACCATCAGTTTTCAACAACTTTCTGCTATGAATTCTCAACACTGCTGACAGAGCTATATTGAAAAAAAATAATTACAGTACCACAGTTCAGAGAAATCTCAGAGGGGTTTGTGCTCTGGTGCACTGAAACTAAATGTAGCTCAACGTTTATGTAAATAAATATTTGTATTAATTTATAACTATTTTAATGAATAGTGTTCTTATTTTTATATATATGAACGCACATTCGGTTCGGTCCACGTGCGTACCATTTCGGTTATTTTTTCCACTCATTAAATTTTATTAACGAGAGATTATGTGCAGCGGAACTAAAATTCCTAAGCGTGTTTCAGCACGGCGCTATTATCTTGCAGCACGCGGAGCATTAGCAGCCTAGCATGTCGTTGCGGTCTCCTGTTTAGGAACATTATGGCTTTCTTGTTAAAAGACAAGTGTAAATCCAAAGCTGTGTGTCGACGTTGTTTCACGGAGATTGGATCTGCAGCAGACAACACGTCTAACTTGTTAACGTGCTTGAAACGACATCATCCAATCGTGAACGTCTCTTCTACAAGGAAGAAAAGCAGCTTGTTGCAAAGACCGATAACAGCAGCATTTAAACAACCTTTATCGGGTAATTCAGATCGGTCCAAAGCAATAACACAAGCTGTAGGAGTTTTTAAAGCTCTGGATCTACGTCCGAATGTTGTTGATACGCCGGCTTTAAAGTTCTTGAGCCCCGCAACGACATCCCATCACGTCAACTCTTCAGCCAAAAAGTTGTAGCAGCACTTTATGAAAAAGCTAAAATTGATTGTCAACAAGCCCTGGACCAGATTAATGTCCTGCCCTGACGATGATTACCGAAAGATTTAACCACCTCATAACAACCGTTCAAGAAGAGGTATTGTTCTTTTATTATTATTATCTAATTAACTTTTTTAAATTTAAAATTGTAATCTCATTAACTCGCCTTTTTTCTTTTTTACCTATTTGTGTTTTATTTCCAGTCTGGGACAGAGATAGCAGCTGAGTCTACCTGTTCAGGGAAAGCCAGAGATCACCTTCAGCTAAGAAGTATGTGATGACTGAACTCTGAACTTTTCCAGGGACAGGTGGGAGCAGGTCCAAGAGGTTGTGAGTAATGATGAGGCCAAATACAGCCACAATGCAAAATTAGCAAAGCTCTACCTCTTTATTCCTGCCACCTGTTAGTGAGTGGTCATCTCCACCGCTGGAGATATTCACTGCAACTAGATCTGTGATTTTGGCAGAAAATGTGGACAAGTTGGTCTTTTTGGCCAAAAACTTAAAACTTGATTAGTTAGATTGTAAACGGTCTGTTGCTGCTTATTGTTCTGGTTCTGACTGTTATTGTATTTATTAAGATTTTTATTATTGTTAGTATGGTTTATTTATTGTAAAGAGTGCATTTAAAATTAGGGATGCACCAATCCACTTTTTTTTTTTTTTTTTTTTACTTCCGATCCCGATACCTAAATCTAAATATCGTCCGATTCCGATATCTTGATCATCACTGATTTTATATGAGGCTGTAATAATCTCCTCTCAAGTACAATTTGTACAAATATATGCATGCATGTCCAAAAAGGCAACTTGAGGTACGTTTTATTAATGCTGGTTAAGTTTTAAAGTTAGAATTAAATTCTGCTAACACAAAACATGTTTCTTTTTATTCCTAGCTTTAAAGTGGATATTAAAGTGATTAATTTAAGTGATTGTTTAGTTTTTTTTGTTTTTTGTAAAAAAAAGGGCAGATATAAAAAAAATTTTAGCGTACCGTTACACACCTAATATATATATTAAAAATAAAGTTGCGAAATGTTGATTGTAATAATGTTTGTGTGGGTAACATTTATCTGATGTACGCCTCTGATGAGCACAACTCTTTTTTTCTGTACTCACAGGTCCCGTGGGGTAGTAGTAGTTGTATGGATAGCTGTAACCAGGATAATGCTGCTGAGTTTGCTGGTACCATGAATAGTACTGCTGCTGCTGCATGGCTGCAGAGTCCGTTACCGCTGGCTGAAATTGACCAGACTGAAATAACAAACACAGAAATAGCCATGGTAAAACAAAATAAAGGCAAAACCATTTATTACTGAATTAAAACAAAATAATAAACTATTCTGCAAAAACAAATGACTATTAGTAATTTTGTATAGGCACATTTTAAAGTGATTAAATCATATCTCAAGTTGCATCACCTCACACAATATACATTCTAATGTACATATCTCCTACAATCCAGCATCACCAGTTTTATTTCTACACCAGCTCTTTAGTCACTTTCCGGTCTTAAATTTTTTTATCAATGCTCCATAGTTTAAACTGTATCAGTTAAAATGACTGATTCTAGTTTGTCACACTAATAATAACAACTGACAAATTGTAGTAAATATCCATTTATATTATAACTCAACATTTCCAATTTAATTAATTTACAATCCCTTTCGGGGTGGTTTGCATGCTCTCTCTGTGCATGCGTGGGTTTTCTCTGGGTACTCTGGTTTCCTCCCACAGACCAAAAACATGCACGTTAGGCTAATTGGAAAGTCTAAATTGCCCATAGGTGAAGAGTGAGAGTGAATGGTTTATCTCATTTGTCTTCATGTGGCCCTGTGATGGACTTGAAGCGGGTAAAGCTAATGGATGGATTTACAATTTCAAGTGACCACTGTGCTCTTTCAGTCACAATCATAAATATGCCTTACAGAGTCTGTGCTTACCATCTAGATAACAGTTTAAAAATGAATCTTCAGACCAGTGCTGTAAAAATACAAAATCCAGATAAAACACAAACCTCTGCTGTGGCCCTGTTATCTTGTGTAGTCTTTGAAGTCTGATTTTTATTGATGCTTGCAAGCGCCTGCCTTGCTTTCTCCCACTCTGGATTTTCATGAGCATTGCCATCTCCAGAAGAGCCATAAGGCCTGACGTTAAAAAAAGAAAGAAATCAAAACAAACATGTTTGGCATGACTGGGACCCTGCGTACATAATTTCGTTCCACTACATGTATCAAATGTGGTGCGAACGACAATAAAGAATCTCTGACTCTGATGATTTTGGAATTACCTTGCTGACTAGTAGATAATTTGATCAACATTTCAGTAACATATCTTTAAGTTAATTCACCTTTCCTTAGACATATAGCTGAAAGTGTTATAATATTGCAATAGTTTGAATCTATAGCAATAAATGAGTAATCATCAACAACAATCATTGAAAATGGTGAAAAACTCAAGCTGACTAATATTTGATGTAAATTTCTAAAGTTGAAGATTCACTGGAAATGTTTGAAATTGTTAATCTATTTAATAAACTTCTGCAATACAAACCAGGTAAATAAAAAAATTATCACTGACTAAATAGTGTTGCTTGAATGGCAAATTGTTTTTAATTTACATCCCGCTGCCCTATATTTGTAAATACAACTTACATACTACGGCCATAACACCCTGAACATGCCCGATCTCAGAAGCTATAGGGTCGGCCCTGGTTAGTACTTGGATGGGAGACCGCACCAGGTGTCGGAAGCTTTTACTGGGGCCGAGATGGTATAGTGGGAGGGCAGCCAACTTGGGACCAGAAATCTGCAGGTTCAACTCCCCGCTGAGCAAGACATCTAATCCATAACTGTTCCCTGGACGCTTACTTAGTTGCCTGCTGCTCCACCTGGGTGTATCTCATGTGTGATGGGTTAAATGCAAAGCACAAATTTCATCATTGTATGGGAAGATACAATGACAAAGCATAGCATTTTACTGTACTCTAGGCCCTTGACAAAGCAGTTGCTCAGGATTTTATTTCTTCTGTCAGCTGCTCCATTCTTCAAGAATCACCAAAATTAACTAACTCGCACGAAGACATGGCAATTGTTTTTACGCCAGATGCCCTTCTTGACACAACCCCAGGCCACCGAGCTACCACAACCCTTTGTGTGGAGCAGGGAGCTGCCATCTAGGGAGCCCATAGGAGTTGATGGTGGGGGTTACAGGCCTTGCTCAGGGGCCCAGAGTGGGGCAAATGAGGGTGGGGCAAGTGTGGGTGCTTCACCCACCTCACCCATATTTTGCTGTCTGTTCAGGGATTTGAACCAGCAAACATTTGATCGCAGGCTTGCCTTCACTAATCTTTGCGCAACTATCTCAGCCCCTCCTCCCCTGTTCAGGAATTAATATTGTTTTCTTCTTCTTAAGGCTGCTCCCATTGTCAGGGGTCACCACAGATAGTCTCACGAAGGCTTGGCGATTATTTTTTACACCAGACGCCCTTCCTGACTCAACCACATACCACCAAGCTACCACACCCCTCTGTGTTTAGCTGAGAGTTGACATCTAGGGCGCCCGGGAAAGCAAATGGGGGGTTAAGTGCCTTGCTCAAGGGCCCAAAGTGGGTCAAATGAGGGTGGAGGCAGTTGTGGGTGCCTCACCTCACCTATCCCACCCACATTTTGATGTTGTCGGTATTTAATATTAAATAATATTTATCTTATTTCAGCTATTTCATCTTAAATATTTTTTAGCTTAACACTAAGGTAGTTTTAATTTTGTTATTTAAGAGTGACTTAACCCTCTACGGTGAATACCTTATAAAATAAACATAAAAAAAAACATTCGCAACAAAAGCGTTCCTGTATAGTGTATACCCAAACACATTTGGTAAAATCTTCTGTAAAATAATATGATCCTATCATCAAATTAATAAAATCCAAACATTCTGAATTCCGATGCTTGCGTACAAACTGAACATATAATTAGTTTAAGACAACACAACTTGTGGGTCACGTCTCGATGTCAAAGTTTTCCCCCAAAAAAATCTACACAATATAAATTTGAAAAGGAACTTAACAACTAACGTTAGACGTCACGAACGGCCTGCTGTTAACGGCAGCGAACAGGAAGCTAACTCCTGTTAGCACAAACGGAACTAATGTCATTACTGTTAATTCGATTATAAATTAAAACTATGAAGAACTGACGGAAGATATCTCGAAAAGAACCCATTCCCGTTACCTTCAACGTGCCTTTTTTTAAATTTAGAGTGTGACCTACCAGTTTGTTGTAGGAGTTGCTTGTGCCGTGTTGGCCGCCATTTCACTGTTTTCAGGCTAGGGAACGCTAAGGCCCAGGACGGTTAGCTAACAGGCTAAAGAAAACTAGCTGGCCTGTTAGCTCCTCTACCGTAAGTCCAACTCGGAGTCAACCTGGTCCTGTTATTTACAAAAAAAAAACGTCAGTCGACCTAGAATACTACTCCCTAAACAGAGAAAACAAACGTTAATTCATTTCAAACGCATGAGGAAATTTAAAATAAAGTGAACATGACTATAGTTGCTTCTACTCCAACGACGTAAAGCTTCTTAACCGAGACAACAGCGATACAAAATGGTAGAGCAGCTCATCGGTGGAATTTTTTTATCCCTGAGTAGTGAATTGCAGGCTTCTAACGCTCGGTTTCCTTGCGCTTCTGCTCCGCCCCCAACAGCTTAGGCAATCACTTTTTAATTGCTGTTTCTCCTCTGTGGCTTCGTGTGGATTATTATGTATTTCTTTTTGTCACAATTCATTCTCTATAGCTTAGTTGTGTTGTCTGCGCTGAACAGTGTGCAGCGCCCTAGTACGGTATTATACCTTTAAACAAATTGCAGGGCAAAATAAACCCTTTTATCCAAAGTCCTGACGCATGCTTTTCGTCACCCACATACTCTGTAAAAAGGCACCTTATTTCATTTCCCCCCTTTGTATAATTCATTTAATGAATAAATTTGTAAACACAACCCAATACCTGATTTTTAAAGTTGTAAATGTACTTTTCATTGTGGGTAGAATAGTAAAAAATGTTTTACTGAATGCTGGATTATTGAGCATGCATCAGAAAAAATGTTTTAGTTTCACATTTCTGCTCTGGTTCAAAATACAGCTGAATCCATTTCTTTTAACATATTTGCACTAACACAGCTTAGTGAAATTTTAATTTAGCCTTCTTTTTTATATACCTTTTTCCTGTGTCACATATAGTACAAAACAAAACATGTTAAACAAATTTTATTTGTGTTCATATCACCAGTTAAGTCTCTCTTCTTGGTGGTGCATGATTGTTTTTAAGTCTTTATTAAGCGCAAGTAATTTGTGGTTGTTAGCGTTAACCCTAAGTTTTGTGTGCACTTAAATTTTTTCAGTATATTTATCTTGTTAAATGATGGGCTTCTTTGTGGCCACATGTCCATTCAGTCTCTTTACGTGTTGTTTTTATAAACGTTTTGAGTCTCTTTGGATGAACTGAGAATGAACGTGAACAGACACTTAAAGAAAGTGCCATTGGTCAGGGGCCCCTAATTAATTTACTTGAGCTTGATTGGTCTGTTCAGTAATCCTTTTATGCAAATCCTGTTTAAGGCCTCAGAAAGATGGGCTCTCCCTGACAGAGTGGAACAAAATCCTGATTAAAGTCTGTATTTATATGAACTTTAGAGAATTAAAAAAAAAAAAAAAAAAAAAAAAAACAGTAAAGAAATAGGTTTGAGTTTTTATCACAATGCTTGTTTTTCACTTCTCAGTGGAAGATCCTTCATATGGAAGTTGCACTTCTGGCAAATGAAAATCTTATATGTCTGTAACATACATAAAGCACATCAAGATATAAAAAGTTTTAGTTACAGCACTTGGAATAATGCCTGAAATAATAATTTATGGAAAGCAAGAAGTTCAGATTTTTTTTTGTGTCCTCCTACATTTAAGCATCAAGCATATTTTTTGTTAGAACACAGATTTTTTTTTAAAAAGAATTTATCTCACTCGTTTAGATGTTATGCCTCCTGATATATGGTCATATCTGTCACTTTTATTGCTTTAAAGATGTTGCCAGAAGACTTGTTTCCGTGCAGGAGGTGCTGACTAAGCTATCCAAAGTTCAACTGTCATGTCTCAGTCAAGTTCAAAATGAAGGCATTTGTAACAGAGAGCAAAAAATAAAAATAAAAAAATAAATAAATGGAGAACGGAGGAGAAACTTGGAACACTTTTCTTCTTTTAGTTGCCTCAGGAAATAAAAAGTTAATAAATTAAATTAAACTGAAAAACTGCAGGAAAAAATGGGATTTTAACCCAGTTATTAGGTACAAAACAGGACCCGAGCTAGACCGGGCCACACTGATAACCCAACCCTGATGAATTAAAACTATCCCGAGTTGGCCAGCTCCAAATTTGACCCAGCACTGGGTTACACATTGGGTTGTTTATGACACAGGTCTGCATTTTTAGAGGGTAATTTTAGAGGCTTACGCAATCCAGTTTACATCTCTGACCTTTTAAAATCCCAGATCCCTTCTTGCAGACTGAGATCTTCTAGGCCACAGACTCATTTTAGGACCAAAGGAGATGGATTCTTTAAAGCATGTGGCCCTTTTGGAACATGCTTTGGATGCTTCTATAGCTGATGAAGACTCAATTGTTTAAACGGGCTTTTATATGGGCTGTATAAAATGTACGTTTTTACTTGTCCTGATCATGCTCAATAATCCAGGTAGATAAATCTAACAAGGTTGAATCAGGTCCTCTGGACGAGTTCTTCTTTGTTGAAACGTTTTGTATTTTATCCAAAAGACGCTTTCAGTCTGAGGAGCTGCAACAAACTCAGTCTTATAAACAGCACCTTCGCGTAGTGGATCAAACAGTTTGCTGGTGACAGCCAAAACCAGTTGTTCATGTGCAAAAGGATGACCATCAGCCTAACAATTGATCGTTAGTGCCCTGATGGCCACTTGCTATTCACAGAGGGCTGAGTAATACTTGCAATAACAGCACTGTAAGAGAGGGACAGTTGAACATGGAGGCCTCCACCCCGGTTCAATGATGGATGAGTTATCTTCACAAAGATGTCATCCTCTTTCAAACCAGCGTTCTTCTCTATCAATGACGTGCATGTGTAGACCGCAGAGTCCTGGCCTGATGATGTTGCTCTTTTGTGCTGGGCCTTCCTTATTGTCATTGACTGTTTAATTTCTTTAATGTATGACTGATCACAGCCCTTCTGGCACTGAACAACATATACAATATTACTCTGTTTTGGGACTGGATCTTTGGGATGAACCAGTCTTTACCACAAGGTACAAAGTATTTTGGTTTGAAAGCCACTGGAACATGTGGGTTCCGTCCTGGTTGTGTAACACTGGATCAGCTCTTCACCCTCACTAGGATTCTTGAGGAGTCAAGGAAGATTGCCCATCCTGTCTACATGTGCTTTGTGGACTTGGAGAAGGCTTTCAACCATATTCCTCGAAGTACACTGTGGGGGATGCTCCGTGCATATGGGATTGGGGGCCCATTACGGGCTGTTCGGTCCCTATACAAGCAGTGCGAGAGTTTGGTTTGCCTTGCCGGTAGTAAGTCGGACCCCTTCAGGATTGGAGTTGGACTCTATCATGGCTGCCTGTTGTCACTGATTCTGTTCATAACTTTTATAGACAGAATTTTTCAGTGCAGCCGGGGGAGAGTCCCATTTGGTGGCCTCAGGATTCCATCTCTGCTATTTGCAGATGATGTGGTCCTGTTGACGCTATCGTGCCATGATCATCAGCTATCACTGGAGCGGTTTGCAGCCGAGTGTGAAGCAACTGGGATGAGAATCAGCACTTCCAAATCTGAGGCCATGGTCTTCGGTCAGGAAAGGGTGGATTGCTCTCTTCAGGTCAAGTGTGAGGTTCTGCCTCAAGTGGAGGAGTTCAAGTATCTCAGTGTTTGTCAATGAGTGGGGGAAGAATGGAGCATGAGACTGACAGACGGACTGGTGCAGCGTCTGCAATTTTTCAGTCTTTGTGCCGGTCTGTTGTGGTGAAGAGGGAACTGAGCTGTAAGTCATAGCTCTCTGTTTACCGGTCAGTCTACGTTCGGCCACAAATTTTGGGTAGTGACCGAAAGAATGAGATCGTGGATACAGGAGGTTGAAATGAGTTTCCTGCACAGGATAGCTGGACTCTCCCTTTGAGATAGGGTGGGAAGTTATCTGGGAGAGACTCAGAGTAGATCCGCTACTTCTCCACATGGAGAGGAGCCAATTGAGGTGGTTTGCGCATCTGGTAAGGATGCTCGGGCGCCTCCCTAGGGAAGTGCTTAAGGCATGTCCGACTGGGAGGAGACCCCGGGGAAGATCCAGGACATGCTGGAGAGTCATATTGGTTGGTTTTGGAATGCCTTGAAGTCCTCCCAGAAGAGCTGGAAGAGGTGGCTGTGGAAAAGAGATGTCTGGGCTTCCCTGTTCAAGCTGCTGCCCCCGCGACCCGACTTTGGAACAAGCGCTAGATAATGAATGGATGGATTTAACCTGGCTTTCTTACAATGGATGGGCAGAAACTGCAGATAGTTCAACTCTCTCATTCAGAGTTTTTCAGCTCAGCTGCAACACATCAATACAGGAGGTCACTCCTGCTCACCTCAGCAGTCTTATGTAATAACTGCATCATATCTGCACAAGTCCAGAGTGATAGTTTATGGTTTCACATGGAAATCATCGTCAATTTTCTAAATTTGTTTTGTCCTCTAGGGCCACAGGAGGACTGGAGCTGATCTCATCTGTCAACCATTTGAAGTTGGGGTACGGCCTGGTCGGCAGTTCTTCACAGAAGGCCAAGGAATGCATTAAAGCTAAACGTGCATGTTTTTGGACCATGATAGGAAGAATTTAGAGAAAACTCACACAGGCAAAGGGAGAACATGCAACCTCTACACCTGCACAGCTGAGTCTTGAACCAGAGACCTTCTAGCTGTGACGCAGCAGCGCTGACGCCCTGCAGCCTGCTGCTGCACAACGTGTCTGAAACATTTAGGACTGCGTGGGCTGCTCTAACTTCACTTCATTCAACGTGCACTTCTCATTGTTTTCCAGAACAACAGTTCTTCAACAGATCCACTTTTCCTCCTTGCCTTCCTGTGAAGCATACAGATGCAGGATGTGTGTAAGTGTATGTGTGTATCCCAAGGAGGGGCGTTATTTCCTGCCAGAGTCTCTCCCACACAAATCCCCCAAAAAACTTCGAGTCAACAGAGATTTACAACTGTTGCTGAGCACAAAGCAAGGTTTAGCAATGTTTTCTCATATCTATTTGCTTTTTATGTTAGAGGGACAGCTTCCAAATAAGTAAAATACTCTATTTTGAGTGTATTTATGGACATTTCTCCCAGTGACTGACAGCAGCACGCGCCTACAGGAAGAACTCACTCACATTGTCGTCTTTTGGGCTGCATCATCACACAAATATGCTGAGCATTTGTTACAAGAGCTCACAAACGGTGACTCAACACCCAGCACTATTGTCTGAGTACCAAGGATTTCTATTTTTTTTTAACCCATGGGAGGAAGGAAGCTGCACACATGTGGACTTTGAAAAGGCACCCTTATGACACTCTAAATCCCTGTTTTTCTCTAGGTCCTTTCAAGAAGGTTATTGACTCCACGAGTAAACAAGATGGATAACTGTGTGAAGTAACCGTGCAGCAGTCACCCTTTTAAAATACGATGCTGTGAACTAGGTGGAGCCTTGTAAAGGGTTTGATTTCATTCACTGCGTTCCACAAATGTCAACATAATTGCAGTCTATTTTAACACAAACCCCTGGTAATAGTTCACATGTAATTAAATGTGTTTGCTGCACTTGTGTTGCCCAATCGTAGTCTGTAAAATGGGAGTAGAGCTCAGAGAGGCCGACTCCAAGTTTGTTCTTTCCCAGAAATTTCAGGACTTTTGCAATCTTTGGGAAGTTGGGATTCAAATAACACACTTAGACATAACGCAGGGCGATTCTGCTAACTTAACTCTCTCTTGAAGGAGCACCAAGGCGGCTTCTAATTTTCCCTTTAGCCATAAAACAGCATAGTTTACCCCTGTTCTTATAAGAAGTAAATGTGGATAACATGTGCTTAGAATTAGTTTACTTAAAAAAATGTGATTTGAAATCTAAACAGTAGACTTGGTTGTTTTAATTTATCTTTATCTAATCAAAGGAACCCCACTGATATTAGATTAATCTTGCTACAAACTAGCAAATAATCTGTACGTCATACCTCAATCTCCATCATTGGCCAAAATGCTTAAAGCACAATGTGACACAAATGCTGCAGTGTGTTTCTGTCCTGCTGCTGCGCTTGTTGACACCTGACGTGATGTTTTAATGACTAGTTAAAGACATGGTTGCATCCAGGAAACTTTGTTCAGACCATTCATTACTGAAGGTAATGTTTTTAGGAGAGCAAAGGCAAAGTGTTCTGGATCACAGCGGTGGACTGGCCTGCACCACAGTCTTGTTTTAGCAGCTAATGGATCACTAGGTTGAGAAAATAAAGACAGAGAGAATAAAAGAAGAGTGTGGCCTCTGTTTCAAATCACAACTCTGGACATGATGCAAAAAATTTGGTAAAATTAGACATGTCACATTCTGATTGCCTATGCTTGCTTCACATAGCTAGCATTTTGCTCGTGTTTTTATGGCTTTTAGGTATGTTTTGTTACTTCAAGCTAACATTTTGCTACTTTTAGCTAATGTTTGACTACTTTTAGTTTATGTTTTGCTATTTTTACAGTGTTTTGCAACTTTTTGCCTTTAACTAGCTTTTTCATTCAATCTTTATACAGGTTAGTCTCAATAGCCTCGAGGACTCATTTACAAGACAGACCTGTTTTAACAAAGAATGATGACAACAGTAGACAATCATAAAAAAAAAATATAAATTGAAAAATAAATGGAAGAAGATATTAATTAAAAAAGTTACATTATAAAGTGATATAAAATATTAAAAATAGGAACATGTCTGCGTTGGTTTTTGCCATGAACTTAGCAGATGTTTGAAGCCACTTACAGGTCAAGTTCAAGAGATTCAGATTTTTTTTGCAGGGTATTCCAGGATACAGGAGCAGAGGTTATTGGTTGATTAACATTTTTCAACATTTGATTAAACAATCACTAAATGTAGCTTTTAGTTAGTTTGGCTACTTGTTGGTTGCATTTTGCTATCTCCAACTAATGTTTTGTTACTTTTAGTTTTTAGTTACCAATAGTCGTTATCTAAAAAAGTAAAGTCTTGTCCTCTGGATAGATAAAAAAAAAACTTGTTGAAATGTTTCGTCTTTAATCCACAATACTTTGTCAGTCTGGGGAGCTTTAACAAGCTCAGTCTTATAAATAGCACCTTCTCACAGTGGATCAACCAGTTTGCTGTTGACATTCAAAACTAGCTGTTCACTTGACAAGGGAGGACCATCTGCCTATCAATGAATCGTTAGTATACTGATGGCCGCTTGCTATTCACAGGGTCACATGACAAGGGAGGACCATCAGCCTAACAATGGATTGTTAGTATAACGATGCTGCTTTCTCTTTACAGGGTGCAAGCAACCATCAGCGTAACGATCCGTTGTTAGGCTGATGGTCCTCCCTTGTCATGTGACCCTGTGAATAGCAAGCGGGCATCAGTGTATGATTCATTGTTAGGCTGATGGTCCTCCCTTATCATGTGACCCTGTGAATAGCAAGCAGCCATCAGTAAATGATCCATAGTTAGGCTTATGGTCCTCCCTCATCATGTGACCCTGTGAATAGTAAGCGGCCATCAGTGTACTAACGATCCATTGTTAGGCTGATGGTCCTCCCTTATCATGTGACCCTGTGAATAGCAAGCAGCCATCAGTGTATGATCCATTGTTAGGCTGATGGTCCTCCCTCATCATGTGACCCTGTGAATAGCAAATGGCCATCAGTGTACTAACAAACCATTGTAATGCTGATGGTCCTCCCTTGTCATGTGACCCTGTGAATAGCAAATTGCCATCAGTGTGCTAACAATACTTTGTAAGGCTGATGGTCCTCCCTAGTCATGTGACCCTGTGAATAGCAAGCGGCCATCAGTGTATGATCCATTGTTAGGCTGATGGTCCTTCCTTGTCATGTGACCATGTGAATAGCAAGCGGCCATCAGTGTACTAACGATCCATTGTTAGGCTGATGGTCCTCCCTAGTCATGTGACCCTGTGAATAGCAAGCGGCCATCAGTGTACAAACGATCCATTGTTAGGCTGATGGTCCTCCCTAGTCATGTGGCCCTGTGAATAGCAAGCGGCCATCAGTATATGATCCATTGTTAGGCTGATGGTCCTCCCTTGTCATGTGACCATGTGAATAGCAAATGGCCATCA